TTTGAAATTCACTGAGGTATTTAAAGAATATGTAACCTCCTTCTTTGCACTTCCTATCAGGAGGCTTAAAGCTTGTTGATAAATACATGAATTCTTGCAATATAGTGGATATAGCCATATAACTTTTTCTGCATAACATCCAGCAAGCAGTATATTCTGTTAGCAGCAGTCACTCGTAAAGAAAGTTATTCAAATTGTGAGAAGTTTTGTCATATGCCAACATAAATGAGTTAGGAAGGGATGAACAGATGGCAAAAGTAAAGTAATTTTTTTTTTTTAATAGCTGAACAGGTTTATTGAAAAGCTGACGAATGAAATGAAAGATGCTGGGAATTTGGAGGGAATACTGTTAACAGGGCTGACAAAAGATGGAGTTGACTTGATGGAAAGTTATGTTGACAGAACTGGAGATGTCCAGACAGCAAGCTATTGCATGCTACAGGTTAGTGTTTCACTCGAAAATCAATCTTTATAGAGGAGAACCAAACATAGTTCCTTTAGCAGTGTAGTATTGAAGCTTGTGAACTAAAAAGTATTTCCTATAATAAATTGGGACGATATATACCATGCCTGTTTTCGGAATCATCTGAAACACTCACTGTTAACTATAAACATGTATCTTCACTCTCTCTGGTTGAGACAGCTTGAGGAGGTAGTAGGGGAAAGAGGCAAAAATAAAACATAGTCCTTTTCACGAGCTGAACTAGGAGTACCTATTCCCCTGTTTATTGCTGGTGTGTTTCCTGACAGGTTCATTATTTTTTTTGCTTCCAGGATTTTGATGGAGAACTGAGGTGAGGTTTTTCATTTGTCTGTAGGCATTGTTTTGTTTTGGTTTTTTTTTATGATGGACTTGTCTTGGCCCTTACACAGTTGCAGCTATTGCCAGCACTGTGTTTAACTGCATATGTAATCATAACAGTGATGTAGACTGTGATATGTGACAGAATTTTATAATCCTTTATCTGACAGACACAAGTTTTTAGGAGGACGTGGCAGCACAAGTATTTTCAACCAGAGAGGCAGACTGAAGAAAATTTTTATCCAACTTGCATTACAGTTTAACAAAAAATTAATCTTCCTCTAGGCAAATTACACTGTATTATTTCTCATATCTTGTAGTACGCTTTGTAAAGCCTTTTGAAAAAGTAAATATGTATTGTGTATCTTCAGAATGTGTCTGACATTTTTTCCTGTCTGCTTTAGGGTTCTCCATCAGATGTACTTAAGGATGAGAGGGTTCAGTACTGGATCGAGAACTACAGGAATCTTCTAGATGCTTGGAGATTTTGGCATAAGCGTGCAGAATTTGATATCCATAGGAGTAAGCTGGATCCCAGTTCAAAACCTTTAGCCCAGGTAAACGTCATTCCTGTGTGAAGTATGACCAGTCCAGAAAGGAAGGTGTCATGGTACTTCTGTAGAAAAAAGTTGCTGGCCGCACCTTGGCTTTCATGAGGATTCATGTGCAAAAGAAAGATTTCAACTAAGGCTGCCCTAAAAAAGTAGCTGTGTTTTCTAAAAAAAAAAAAAATTTTGAAAAAAGGACTTGATAACTGCTTTGATAGACAGTACAGAAATATGGTAAACAAATCTACATTTCTTCATATCTAATCTAGGAAATCAGTTCCCTACCATTTTATTTGTGTTGGGGTTTTTTTCTTTTCTTAAAACTTTTCCTTTCAAATAACAGTTTGTCTTTCAGAAACTGTAACTTTTCAACACTTTTCCTGGAGAAACTGGTTTTTTCCCTCCCATGTTGAATCCTCCCATGATGTATCATCCAGCTGAATTCAGCATCAGGGTGAGGATGATGCTGAAACCAGGGAATTGAACCAAGAATCGGTTCAAATTGGCTCTGTTTTAATTGAAGCGAACCTCAAAGCTATTTTGAAGCCCTCGAACCTTAAACTAAAAGTGAACAGCAGCAACTTCCGTTATCAGTTCTGAACATAAGCTAAACCAAAAAACAGCACCCTGTCCGAGTGCTATCTACTTAACGTCTGGTGGCATTTTTAGCCAACATCGTCTTACCACAGCACCTTCCACTCTCTCATGTCTGCTAAGTATGTGTATTACAAGCCTTAGGGCCCAAGGGTTTCTAAGGAAGGCTATTTTTGAATTCATGTATCTGTCACAGCTGTTTAAGGAGAGCATCCGTACTGCTCCAAGTGGGAGTGAGTTGACTTTGCTGCTCCTTCCTTATGTGATCAACATAAATAGCCCCCAAAGAGTTTAAAATATGTGTTCCTTGGTATCAAGTCACAACTTGTGGCATAAGGTATGCAGATAAAGATTATTAGGAAAATCCTCATGTTAGGGACTCTAGAGTGGATCACCTGACTATAAGGAGGGAGAGACCAGATTTAATTATACAGTAAGTAGAGTAACCTTAATTTCTTTCATTACTGCAGATACAGCTTTTTATTATTCTAAATAATACCTTTCCAAGTTTTAGCAATTCTGCATGTTCTTATGTGCTTTTGAGGTAAGTGAGCATCATTAAGGCCTGCTTCTCAGGACTGTGTGCCACATCTATAAGCCAGGATGTTAGGAGCTCCTTCACAAGTAGCCTTGGCTTTCCAGGACACTTTCTAGAATATCTGGTAAATAAGTGTTTGCTAGCTTGAATGAATTCACTCATAGGTGTAGCAGAAGTGGAACCAAACCAAAAAATTAATGGGCTTTTGTTCTTTTTAGGTGTTTGTGAGTTGCAATTTCTGTGGAAAATCAATCTCTTACAGCTGTTCAGCTATTCCTCATCAGGGGCGAGGTTTTAGCCAATATGGAGTTAGTGGTTCACCAACTAAGTCAAAAGTTACAAGCTGTCCTGGTTGCCGTAAACCCCTTCCTCGCTGTGCGCTTTGCTTGATAAACATGGGAACACCAGTTTCCAGCTGTCCAGGTATGATACAGTGGGTTTCAGTTATTCAGCTAGAGTACTAGTTGGAGGCCTAATTAGCAGTTCCTGTTGGAAGATCTTCTGTTACACCTTTTTCTTTCTATTTGTACTCATACTGTAAATATTCGTACTCATAATTTTGAGGGAGGAACACCATAATTGAAAACTTGTTTACATCCCATCTGATTTTTGTGATGAAACCTACGTCTCAGTTCTTTGGTGTCAGACAGAATACACAGTTACTTGGTTCTGACAGTTTTCCCAGTGAGATTGTCAGTGAAATTCCATGGTTAGGCAGATACAAAGTATTGTGGTGGTCAGTACTGTGAGCTTAAAAACTGTAAGAAATGGGAAGTGTGTTTTCTTGAGATGAATTGTAGGGATGCTACAGAAATCTTGGAATGTTAGTTAATTGATTTTTAGCTGGAAGAGGAAGAGAGAATAAATTTAATGTGGTATACTTTCTGTCACTAAGTATGAAAGAATGTATGGGTCATGTCACAGCGAAGAAATATTATGACTAGAATCTTTAGGCTCTAAATGTCTTGGACTCAGCATTATACAAGGTCTAAATGAAACTGATTTTGTCCATATTTTTTGGTCAGTCTCGTTACAGAGCCATGAGCAGCCGTGCAGTTGTCATCTATTTATGTATCTCTTCTCATTCTTTGACTACTCTGTGTTATGACTTCTATATTGTCATTGTTCCAATTCATAACTTAGATTTTGTTGTTTTTTTCTAAAGCAGAACATTTCATGTACAGTAAAACAGGCCCATGATTCACTAGAACATAAATCACTGTTGATAGAGATTCTGTCTGTAAAATTTGTTTAATAGGCAAGTTTAGCATGTCTGTAAGATGTGAAACAACAGCTCAGCAATATAATTCTTGTTTTGGCATTCCACCAGTTCTTAGAAATTTTACTGACTTCTCTCTTAAAATCAGGCCACTTCTTCACATAATGTTCCTAATTTCAAATTTATTCTAATAGTGTTACTGGGACTGAACTAAAAATGAAGCATAACAATTTACAAGCATATTTGTGGGGGTGGGTTTGCTTCTGCACAGGAGGATCCAAGTCAGATGAAAAAGTGGATCTTAGCAAAGACAAGAAGTTAGCCCAGTTCAACAACTGGTTTACTTGGTGTCACAACTGTAGGCATGGTGGACATGCTGGGCATATGCTTAGCTGGTTCAGGTAAGTTGATGTTAAAATTTTTCTTATTTCACATGTGTATGCTGCACTGAGTAGGACGTGCCTCCATCATTATGATGTTTTGTTAGTTTAGAGCATATGCAAAACTTAACTATGATGCTGAAGTTTTCTGAGATACTGTGTCCCTGCATATACTTAAATGTATAGACTACAAAATTCTTGTTAGTTTTATTTTACCTGTTTTTTTCTTTTTTCTGATATTGCTATCTAGGGACCATACTGAGTGCCCAGTTTCTGCCTGCTCTTGTAAGTGTATGCAGCTGGATACAACAGGGAATCTTGTTCCAGCAGAGACTGTCCAGGCATAAATATTGTTTGAAAATGTGGGGTGCTCTAATGGATGTCCATCATAGTCCAAGCATATATCTTAGACAAAGGTAATTTGTGACGTACTGACTGTGAAAAAATAAATTGCTATCAGATTATTAAAATGATGTGTGTATGACTGTGCTTGGTAGAAACAGGTATTCCTGAAATGAGCCTCTGGGTACACTATGTGGTCCTTGTTCAGAGGATTTAAGCAGTTCAGTTCAAAAGCACTCCTGGAATTGTGGACGCTTTGGATTTGCTAAAATCCAAAGCACTTTATTAAAAGTTTTCAGGGTAGTGCTGATTGGCCCTTTTATTTGTTTTCCAAACAAAGAAGTGTTTATACGCTGTGAAAGTGGGCCTTCAAAATAAACACCTGAAAAGTGTTCTTCAGAAGATTGCAAAGTGATGCTATGGATTCCTCTGTTCATTGTTTGATCACACGTTCTTGTATGCAAACCATTGTTTCCTTGTAAGTTCATTCAAAGTGCCACTGTTAATTGTATTCTAAAGATTTTTACGTTGAAGAAAAATCCATTTTTTTCTGTTCCCAAGTGTTGTTAATAGTAAAGCAGTATCTTTGCTATTCAAGGTTTTATGTAATTTACCTACATACCTAGCTGATGTGAATTTTAATGCTAAAGAACTGAGGTTTGGTCTCCTAGCGATGTCTATATCGTAGAGAAGAGTTCCCGGAAAAGTTATGTGTCTGTTTCAGTGCAGAGTGCAGGTAAACTATAGGAGGTTTCATTTGATTGATTAATTTTTAATGTAGTACTGTGAAGATCAGAAATCTCAAGGACTGGAAGACTTGTAAATATTTACATTTTAAACCACATGCTGAATTTTGACTACAAAAGTATTTGAAGACTTTTGGATAATCAGCGTTTCCCTGTACTTCTGAAATATGCTGGGAAGTGTGAAATCAACCTATATAAATCCTGCTTCTGGTCACTAGCAGACACTAGTCTGCTCCCAAAAGGCTGCACAATTTTAGGTCATTGACCAGAAGTAGTTCTAGGTATGTTACCAGCTGGAATTAAGATTATTTATTAACTTGAGAGTCAATGATAGTTTGCTAATACTGTGCTAGGAGCTAATTGGTATTGTTGTCCTTGATTTTGTAGGCAACAAAATTCACACAAATTAGGGGAAAAAAACCTGTTTTAAGGTATGTGATAACAACATCAGTTTACTTGGTGTGTGTTTATTTACTAGTAAAAATGGTATATGAGTTACTTAACACTTGCGTGCTATGAAATACTAAACGGAATACTAGCAATAAATTGGTACCATATTGCCAGGACTGTGAAAATTGGTGTTTTAAAAGAGAATATATTGTAATATACCACTAGTTCTAAGTGCTCTAGTGTAGTTGCAACAAGATAGAATTTGGAAACTGTTTCTGTAGGTGTACATGATTACATTCAGGACTTTGGGTTGTATTTTCCGATTTAGCATTAATGTTGTAATATATCTGCTACATTTATTCTGATCTAAAACTCTTGCCTAATTGACAAAGATCTTTTTTAAGTTAAAAATCTAAGAGGTACTTGATATTTGTAGGTGTGGGAGAGCAGTTGCTTTTTTTCTTTTTAGAGTATTTATTTCTTTCCAGTATTTTTGCACACTTCACGTTGCTGTTGAAGAGCTCTTCAAGATGCTCTCCATTTATAAATGTAAACTGGGGTTTTATGTATGATACCCTATTTATATAAATACAGGCAATAAAACTTTTGCTTTATGGAAATGAGGATTTGTAAGTGTCAAGGATCTGTTTTTATTCCTCTGTAGTAACAATATTTAGTAAATCTTCCTGATAAATTCCATGTCCCAGTGAATGCAACTACTTACAGTGTCTCATTTTCTTATGTAAAGAAAACTCATTTATAACGTTTTTGACTTGACTATACCTGTTTGTGTCAAATTCTATCATTTCATTAAATTAGATGCTTACTTTGATACTCAGCATGTCTTTGAAATGTTTTGGATTATGAATGTGTGCATATTCTGGCACAGTATAACTATCAGTTTTGGCTGTTGTAATTGGTAATCAGGCTTTCGGACCAGTAATTACAGTAAAGTAAGAGGTGTATGGTTTTTAATGATCAGATTTTTTCCTTGTTTTGCTTTTAAATTAATAAAGCCGTGGTTTGGGGAGTGATTTGTTGTCTTCTAACAAAAACTATAGCTACAGACATTTTGTTAGCTGCAGTTACTTTTACATTTACTGTTTTCTGATACCTACTCAATTCTGATATATCAGAGTTAACTAGATGAAGGTGGCCTTGCATGCTTAAGTGTTTTGACCTTATGGTTCATGCTGATCACATTTTATTATTTTCCTTTCATTATATGCTCCAGCATTGCCTCCCTTCCCTGATGAAGCACAAGCGCTTTCGCGTATGCACAGGCTGCTTGCACATGAGCACAACGTGAGTTGTGCACGTGTCCGTGCCCGAGCAAGGACAGCAGAGCGGGTCTGGTGGTGGTGACCAGGGTTAGCAAGAGTCCAGTAATTGCCAGACAAGTCTGCAGTGATGCCCCTGACCGGGCTTCTCCCCGCTTCCTGTGTGCAGCCCTAGGTTCCTGCACAGTTCTTCACTGCACAGCTGCATTCTGGTGGCCTCCCTCGGCATCCCCACTAGAACTGAATTTCCTCAAGAGAATTTGCCAAATTTTAGTCTGTTCCTCCATTTCAGACTTACGGACTGCTTTCTGTACCTTACCCAACTGGGACATAAAACCATTCCCCTTCTGGGCTGTCAGAGCAGAGAGGGAAGTCACAGCAGCTTGCTGGCCCACAGGGAGGGCTGCTCCCAGCTCCCTTACCTGGGAGTCCTTCTGCCCCACTGCTACGGAGCATTGAACAGGAGTGACTCTTGACCACTGAGTGATGATTTCCATGTCCACCAGACACGCCAAGGAGAGGTTTGGCTGGAGGAAGTAGGGACACCTGGATTGCAGCATGGCCCTTGTTACAGTGGCAATCTCTTGTGTTGCCCCACAAGGGCCAGTGTGATGCAGCTGTGCCATTGCCCTCCCAAAGTTCAGAGATTCTTTCATCCTGTGTGTAGGTTCCCTGAATAAGACTCTCCCTTGCGTCCGTTTCATAATTTTTATTTGCAGTTTAGCCTGCTGGACAGCTAGAACAGGCTGATGGTTTAAGAATTGTTTCTCAAAACACAGCTCTCCAAAACAGCATTTCATGAAGACTGGACCACCTAGCAACCCCTGCAACAAGGCAGGCAGCCTTAAACTGCCTCTCGTTTTTGAACTGCTTAGTAACCAGCTTCTGCTACAGCCTAACCTCCACTGCACTCAAGGAAGCCCAGTTTGGGACCTGCTCAATCCCCTCTCCACCTTTCCACAGCTATCTGGCCCAATCTGTGCTTCCCCGTGCCTCTGGCAGACACCCCTTCTGTACCAGATTTGTTTTTCTCCAGTTATGCCTACTTAGATCAGGATCCTGCCAACTGTGCCTGCCAGATGTTACAGGAGGAGAAGCATCCCCCATGCTGATGTTAGGAAGGGTGCTCCAAACATTCCCTTACGAAGGGCAGGGATAAAGGTGCCAAGTCCCAGAAGTCAGTCACAAGTGTGGTGGGAGCAGCAGGCTCGCCGTCCTGCTCTAAATGACAGGAATCTCTCCCAGGCAGCCCTGATTACGTCACTCACTTCGTACCCCCTTTCCTCTCCCGGGTTCCCACCCTTTACCAGCCTTGTGTCCTCCCAGAGAAGCCGCCAGCTCCTAGTCATACCTTCCATTACTGGCCCTGGTTCTGGTGACACCCCTCTTTGGTGTTTATGATACTGCTGCCCTTGTGACTCCCCTTTGGTCAGCAACCCACGAACCCACTATTTCCCATTTTATTACCTAGGAGGCCGGGCAGTTTCTCACACCTGCATCTTGTTAGTGCAGTCCTGACTGATGGTGATTCATTTCCCTTGGGTATCTGGAATGGCTGGCAGTTTCCCACATTGCTATCCTGGTAAATGCACATATGACATAAGCATTACTTTAATATCAAGAATATTTTACAGTTCCTTGCATTGCTGTCCTGTTAGTATAGCCATATAGCCAGGGTAGGCCACTTATTCACAAACCTTGATAGCCTATAGAGAAGCAGATGAACAAAAAGCACACAGTGGAAACTTTTAGTTGTATACTCCTTGCCTGGCCATGTACCGTCGCTGTGGGACTGGATGAACAAGAAAAGTCTCGACTGATAAAGGGAAACCGTGGCATTTACCACTCAGATGCGTTCGCACGCCAGAGCACGTACCCAAGGACGGTGTCTGTACGGGGGTGAAGTGCTACAGCCATCTAGTGGTAGGCTATTTCATTGGGCCTGGACGGTCTGGATAACTAACTGTATGTAACTTTTTACAGAATATATGTACACGCACAAAATAGCGACTTTCTAAAGTAGAATAGTACAAAAAGACTTTTAAATGCTAGGAAAACATGCATGCAGTTATTAAAAATGACATTTTATTCTCCTGAGAACTAAAATATAGCAGTGATAGCGCTACAGGACAGAGCATGGTATCCTGCCACATGGACCTCGCGTTCTTGTTTGCTGTATGAGACTGACTCCTACTTCAAAAGTCCTCCTCCTTCCCCATGACAGTAACTTTGTCATTGTCTGTCTTCCAAGTAGACAAATAGATCTAAGTAGAAAATAGATCACCTGTTAACTTGATCATCCACCCAGTTTGTAGTAACTTTGATAAATTCCTTGACTGAAAAATGGAGATGTCTATAAATAAGCACAAAGCTAGCAATCTTAATAAGGCGCTAGATCTAGCTATTAAACCTGAAGCCTGTTTGTATGAAAGGTTAATGAACATGGCTACGGTTTATTTAAAATACTCTGAAATATTTCATTTGTTAATCAAAGTAACATCTAGCTTTGGAAGTATTCTCTGTGAATTGTGTTACCTTAGGAGACATAAGAATTCTGCTATGTGCTGTAAGTAGCCTGGATAGTAACAAAATTGGGAACCATGCGGAAGTTTATATGGTTAAAGCCATCACGACAAGCTGGCTGAATCCTGGTACTTCTGCTTAGACTCCCACTAAGAATGAAGGTTGTGATGGGGTCAGCTGTGCTTGAAATCCCCAAGCCTAGCTAGCCCTCTTCCACATGTTTAACACCAATGCAAAAGGCAAGTACCTTGTACTCCACTTTGTTAAAATTACCTATGTCAGGTAAACCAGAACTAGAGTCACCGTATATCACTGAAAACAGCACTCTAACATGTAATACTGACACAAATAGTTAAATGTAGTCAGATCTTTTTTATTCGAGAAGAGACCATTTTCAAGAGGGAAAATAGCCCCCCATGTCCAATAAATTTGCAACAAAGCAAATTAAATAAAAAATCTTTACATTAAAACCCCACCAAATGTCTTCAATACGAGTTTCCTGTAAAGCATCCTAGAACCTCTACCCCCCTCTACCAACAACAACAAAAAGATGCCTTCCAAAACTTCCAAGCAAGTCCAGTCCTACAAGAGAACACTCCTCATGGATGCAAAAGGGTTACATATATACAGTGAGGTATCCACAGACATGTTCTCCTTCTTGCTGAATAAATACATTTTCAAAGAAAACATTCTTCACTGGCAATACATGGCACATGCAACAGCAGTTTTCCAGTATATGTATTGGAAATAAACGCAACTTATCATGCCATCAGGCAGGAAAGCTACGGTACTGTTGCCCCCTCTGAAGCTCTAAATATATGCCAAGAAAAATCAGTTGTTCCTCCCAGTACCAAATGGGAAGTATTCGGGGAAGTCATGAATAATTTTTAGTGCTTCATTGTAGAGTTCTAGATCTGAAAGAGGCCAAAGAAAATGGTTATGATGCATAAGCCAAATTCCCCAGAAGCAAATGATAGCATTAAAGCACTGCTTATTTTAAAGCAGTACAGCTGAGTGTTCCCAGTCTCCCTCTCCTCCCCAGTTTTTCCAAGGCAGCCACACTCTCACCGCTGGCTTTCTGGAGGGTTATTTTTAGGCCTGCTAGCTGTGCAATCACACAGGGCCCAGTGCAAGGTAAGAACCACGCGGTCAGGAGTGGGAGAATGATCAGACCATGGCAACGATCTATACTGGCTCCAGCTTCCAGTCAGTCCCTACAGTTTGACAGTGAACCAGTGTATTTTGTACAGAATTTTTCCCATGGCACTCTCCTTTTCTACATTCTACACCATACCTGGCAGCTTGACGAAAGACCTTGTCTGTAAGAAAACATCATCAGGCTCTCCCTTCTTACTTACTGAAGAAGAGTTCAGAACTCAAAATGAAATTGTCATGATATGTATTCTTACTTACCAAAAGGACTTTTATCTTCTCTGAACTGGACATATGACATGCACATGATGGTTGCCTGATTTGTTACTCTTCCCACTACTTCAAGAACTCCTGAGATCTCTTCATCTAGCTAGAAAACATACCAAATATGAAATTAGTATCACTAAGTTAGCTGCTGTCTCTACTGCACAGCCCTTGAGCTAGGAATTCTCCACAACTGACGGTTTGTTCGCGACAGATTCTGTTCCACGACAAACAATACAGCACTACTGAACAGCCCTGTGCCCTTCCCCAAAAAAACCACAAAAGCCTTGAGCCACTTACAGATTTAGAGTTTTTGTACCCATAATTTTGGGTTTCTCTGTTGAAAGGAAGAACTACATACATGCAAACCAACAAATCTATTAAAGGGGAAAAAAGTTAGAAAGCATTTTGATTAGCAAATCTAGAAGTTCCTCCATTGAGAGAGATGAACCTGGTGTGTTTTTTCTGCATACACCAGTCTCTCCTACAGCAGTGGAACACAGATTGTGAAGTCCCCAACGTTGCAGCTATGCATTTATGAAATTTGACCATTGACTCTGTTATAGAAAGTTGTGGAAAGTTGCTCAGGCGCTGACATCTGAAGTTTTAACAACCCAAGGCAGGAAACCTTTTCATGAACTCAAGAAAGAGTTAAGAGACAGGCAGAACTTGTAGGAAAGACGTTTTCTTGCAGTTTGAAGATTAAGTCAGCAAGCTTTGCATTTATAAGACAAAATGCTTGCCAGATCAAACTGCATTTTTCATCAACAAGGAGAGACTCCTGTCTTGAAAAATCAGAGAGTACCAGGTGCAATTATTTCACATGGAAATAGTAAGATTTCTCAGCATTTAACAGCTCATTCAGAGAAAAAGATGTAAAGGCTACACACATGCTGAGTGAACCTAAAGCATTTGCCATCACAACAAAAATAATCCTTTAATTACAACATTTGCTAGAGAAAAAAAATACTCAAAGACAGAAGAGAACATCAGGTGTTATTCCTTTAGTGGTATGTGATAACAAAGGAAGCAGTATTTTTGTGCAGCAGTTATAAGCATATCTTATACCCATTGTATTAACTGCTTGATTTTTAAATTTTTTTAAGAAAGAATGCTTCAAGCTAACTATGAAGGTTATTGGAATGCTATGACAAGTGTTCTAAGAGGATACAGAAATGCCAACTCATAAAACTCCTGAGAATACCATGTTCTTGGGTTTTTTGGATTATCATCACAAAATACTCTGTTAGGCATATAAAGGCAATAAGAAAAAGGGAGAAAAAAGTGAAATTAAAATAAAGCTAATACATGTAGTGTATCTACACTATCACACTGTAAACAACAAAACAGAGTCAAGACAGAGTAGCCAGACAGGGATGTGTCTGACAAGGAAGGAGTTCCCTCTCTTCACACCCGCTGAAGATTGATGAAGACCAAGGCAGTTCATGAAAATGAAGACTGCAAGTTAGCTGGAAGATGAAAGAAATAGAGGCAATGAAACATAGGCGGAAAAGGTAGAAACCAGGGATTTGTTTGGTTTTTTTTTTTTTTTCTCCCGACTAAAAGCTCAATACATGCAAGGCATGCACAGGTTTCAGAGGGGACAAAACCTCCCGCATCCACAAGAGGCAACATCAAGTATTTCCAAAGTATTCCTTAACTTACGGGTTCGCTCAGCTCCACAGTCGTATGCTTTCCTTCTCCATCCGAAAGCACGAAAAGCTTCCCGGTAGGATGAATCTACAAAAAGACACGAAGCCTTGTGCGCTCCAAAGGCAACCGCAAGCGTTCCGGGTTTAGCCGCCTCAAGCAGAATGGCGCAGCGGGCCTTGCTCCGCGGGCTCCCACCGCTACG